CTGCAAACAACATATGCAATTTTAGTCATATATATAGCTCCATATTTGAAGTATTACAGGGTTGAATATGAGTTATTTAATATGTGGGCTTGAATCTGAAAGTACGTGTATATGTTATTAAATAATTTTTATGTGACAAGGTTCTAGGTGTGTTATGATCAAATATAAAGAGAATTGTCTGGAACTGAAGAGTTTAAAGTAATCTATTGACTTCTGGCTATTTGATTAAACTTCAGATTGGGTTTTAAACAGAAAACATGCAATATGAGGAATGGGATCCAGCCAGAAAGAAGTGATTGAGCAGTGAAGGTATGCTAGTTTCACGTTTTTCTTGTTTGATCTTTTGTTGATTTTTCCCTTCTCTCATATAATCTCTTTCTTTCCTCCCTCTTCTGGTCTGTTGTGTTTGCTTTTGGTAGGTTGAGGGCCTATAAACATCTTATCAGAAAAATGTTGGAAGGAGGGTAAGGGGCATATCAGAGTCAGTAGAAGAGGAGTGCTAGGTATAGAAGAGCCTAAGCAAGGCAAGCAGGCGTGAAGGGGAGGCACAAAGGATATGATTAGTCATGACAGAGAATTTTGTCTTTTTTCTTCCTTTTTTAAATCTGAAAGCGTTAAGAATGTGTAATTTGAATTGGATATGTAGCATCAGGTTTGAGTTTAAAACCCATGGTATCTTCCACGATTGCACTATGAATGACTTGTCTGTGCTTGGAATTACTCAGATTTGCTGGTGCACTTGAAATTCACTCCCTGCCTTAATCCAAGGTAACGTTCAAGTGTAGACAAGCCTAACAGTTCAACACTAACATTTACTTACCTTTGGCAAAAGTTTTAGGTGTTCAAGGAATTCAGGATCATTCAGTAAGGAATGTAGAATTTTACCTCATTAGTTTGTATTAATGAGTTATTTCCTAAGAAGATTTTAATGGCTTAATTTTATTAAGTGAACCTTTATATTAAAGGTTGTGTGGGTAGAGTCATATGAGTATAACAATGGAGTTACTGCATCATAACAACCTATATGTAGCAACCTATGGTGAAGGCTTTTAGACCTTTCTATTCCCTGCTTTCAGCTGCACAATAAATCACAAATAAATCAGCTTAAAACAGAAAGCTAATTTTAAATAATATCAATTTACCTCAGAGAAGGACAAAGTGGATGTCCTGGGCAATGACTGCACTCATCTGAACATACTCGTTATGCTTGATCCCAATTCCAAACCAGTCTAATGTACAAGATACTGTTGCAGGATCCACTCCTTTTTGTAATTGGTGAATTAAGATATTTACTCTTTTCTAGACTTTAGAAACTATGAATGGTTCTTTAGCATTTCAAGAACACAGTTGCTGGCCTGTTTTCTGGATCCAGCATTACAGAACTTGTATTGCCTTAATGTAGAACATGATCTATAAATTTGAAAGCAAACAGGAACAGTTCTTAGGACAGTGTGGTCCTTCCTATCTTTGATTTTTATTTTATTTTATTTATTTATCTATTTTTAGTGTTTTATTGGTTGGGACTATCTTTTAGCCTTGACAAGATTCTAGACACTGAAGTAAGACAGAGTTTTGTGAGAATTAGTCCTTACTAATGTCCGAAATTCATGTCTGTGATCTGGAAATACTTTATATGACAAGAAACAAAGTTGCTCTTTTATAGAAGTGTGTGCTTTTGATTAGAATCTCCAAGTCAATTTGGGAATAAACTTTTTGTAGATCTGTTGTACCCTTCATTTCTTTTGGTGGGTGAAATACTTTTAAATAGCTCTATAAATAGGTAAGTGATCATCAGATGCCTACATCCTGCAGCAACTCTTTAAAGCTTGCTTATACTCGTGGCTGTGGGCTCATCAGAGGAATATGTTAATTAGCAGGAAGAGTATTCAGTCCCAAGGACAGCACACAGGCCCCAGCTCCGTGGTTATCCCAAGGCCCCGGTCCTGCATCATTACAGAGGCAGAGAGGCTTCTGTGTTCTTAAACCTGTGGAAATTACCCAGGCGATGATGGTTTTATTATGCTGAGGTTTTGAGTACAAGTGATCTCTAATTCTCCTTTTCTACCCCAAATATTCTGTGATTCTGTGAATATAGAATGGTATCCAAATCAATAACCCCTGTACCTGGCAAGGATTAGTTAGTTCGGGTTGGATGCGATTTTAATGGGTTGATACTGCTTTTGGCTTGGCTGATCTGAACTCAGCAGCCTCTTCAGTGCAGGTTAGAGCTCTGTGACCATAAAGTGAGGTTAATAATTGAAACTGGTCTATAATTTTGTGAGAATAGTAAATGGGTAGTTGTTATCCACAGAAGTATCCCTACAGAATTTCACAGGAAAGAAGGGGGAAAAAAAGAAATTAAAACTGCCAAGTGATGTTAATAGTTTTTACTTGGTGCCTATTTTTTAAGATTTTTCATTTACTTAGGCTTAATTATGTAGCACTATGAAAACATCTAAACCTCCTGCAAAAGTGAACTGTCACAGCTTTCATACATCTTAGTGAGGTTACTACATTACATTGCTGGATTGGGCCAATGCCTGCTAAGTTAAATTACCCTGCCCTGGACTGAAGTTAATCACTAGATCAGGAAATACTTAAAAAGTAAGTAAAAATACAAATTATGTATATAATTGTGTTCCTCAGCTGCAAAGATGAACATTATAGTTAAGATTACAAGAATTTTCCATGGTTTTAATAGAAATTAGGTGTTTTCTGTTTATTCTGACGTGAAAACAAAGAAAAATTGCCAAAGCCAACTGTCCATCATTATGTTCCTGGGCGAGCCAGCTTATGTTCCTAATTGTACTTTAATGTGGCAATTTATCCTATACAAATTCATATCTTCATATATATCAACAGAGTTACATATTAGTTTACAACTAAAAATCATTGTTGAGTGTGTCTTAGAAAGTCTTGAACTTTCTCAGACACTGGGAGAAGTGGTGTAAAGCCTGAACTATGGTTAGTACCAAACAGAATTGGCTCGTGGACAAGAATCAATTCTTCAGTGAAAATGGTGAAAATAATTTGGCTGGAGTCAGACCTGTGTACAAAGAATTTGATTTTGCCAGGACTTGTGTGCACACATTTGACTTCACACACTTGAACAGCTCTCATGGCTGCTTATTTGAGTGAACCTAATCTGTTTGATTTAATCTTTGCAGGATTGGGACCTAAATGAGTAATTAAAATAAAAATAATTGGTTTGCTTAAGTTTCAATCCCATTTTTAATCAGCTGTCGGAATTTCAGCTAGTGGAAATATGCCTTGAAATGCATATCTTGCTAAAGAATATTAATTTTCTTCGTTCCCGAAGGGACTTCCCCCACCTCCACATCTCTCTTGGAAAGATTTTGCATCCTTCATATGAGAGTGATAAGAGAGGAGGTATGTCATGTTCCAACATGCACAACTTTTCAAACACCAAAAATAAATAAAAAATTCTGTAAGCTGGCTTACGCCGCCAACAAGCAGTCCAAACTTGTATTTTACATGTTTCTGCGGGTTTTGTAAGCCTGTTCGCTGAAATCTTTAATGTAGGCTAAATGCTTGTTATTTGATTTACTTTGATTTACTTGCTAGAGGTCTCATATACAGATAATGTAGAAGTTTTGGGGCCTAGTCTTTGGGGGACCCAGCCATTGACTGATGTGTCATATGTGCAGCAGAACTGTATGAGTAAGGTTCGTCCAGACAGTACAGAGCAGTGTTAAGTGGTGGTATATTAATCTAGGTTGCAAATTGGCATTTCAAGTGGCTAAATTGTGTCTGAACTTTCACAACACACCTCTTGGGTAGATGTAAGAATTCAGCATTCATGATTTGGGGACAAAGGGGCCAAAGTCAAACAGCATTGTGAAAAAAATCAACTCCTCTCCTAGCAAAAAAGCCAATTAAAATAGTAAAATTTTGTTGAAACATTCTTAAACTCCTCTGTACCTCTCTTTATCTCCACATGGTCTCCATACCTATACAACATTTATTTGGATAGCAATAGGACTAGGGCTCAATTTCGTGATAGGAGTTTTGGTGTAATAATGTTTCCAAGTATTGCTCGTTATCATGACTTTTAAAGGATATGTAGGTACCAACAGCACACCTGAGCTTGCAGTCTTGCAGGACTGTGCCCATCCTTGCTGTAGGAGAAAATTACGGTTGAACTGGGCTGCAGGTGGAAAGGCCTCACCCGTGGTGTAAGTCCCTGAATGACACATGGCTCCACAGTCAGTAGTCTTGACAGCTGGGTGTTTTGACAAACTTAAAAAGTGCATTCTGCACTGAACAGCACTTTGTAATCTTCACCATAAAGTAATAACCCTCGAGTGATCTGCATTAATTTGCTTAGCTGTATACTCTGTCAGCTGTGTGGTGTCAGCCAAGACCCCTTCTGATGTTTTTGGCTGCTCTGGGCCGGGGCGGCCGCGCTGATGGGACAGCGGGGCCCGCTCGGTCCCTGCGCCCCCGCCGCCGGTGGGAGCCGGCCCGCCCGGGGGCTGCGGGGACGTACCTCGGAGCACAGGGCAGGCACCGCCGCACCGCCGGTCACGCCGGGGCCGAGTGCGGCGCAGGCTCCGTTACGGACGCGCTGCCCGGCGGCCTCACGCGCCCTCGAGGCCGGTAACTCGAAGCCGTTGCCGGCGGGGCCGTGGTGCCCGCGGCTGCGTGAGCGGGGTCTATCGCCGCCGTGCCCCGGCTGTCGGCGCGCCGGCTGCCGGCTCTGCCGGGCCGTGCTGTGGCACCGGGACCTCCCTCACGGCCCCGGGCACGGGGGGTGCGGGACGGGCACGCGCGGGCCGTGGCGCGCACCCGCTGCACGCGGGCGCGAGGGCGGCGGAAGCGGGCGGGCCCTCCCGGCGCCGGCCCCGCCCCGCGCGAATGGCGGCCCCGCCCGCCCCGCCCGGGTCACTGCGGGGCGGGGGCCGGGCCGGGGCCGGCCGGGCGGGCACGCGCCTCCCCCGCACCGCCTCCTCGCGCCTCCTCCGCGCGCCGCGGGCCGGCAGCAGTGGCCGGCGCTGGGCGGCCTCGGAGAGCGCTGCGCTCCCGTCCCGTCCGCTCCCGTCCCGTCCCGGCCGGCGCTGCCCATGGCGTAGCCGCGCTGCTGCGCGCCTGCCCCGCGGGACGCGGCGTGGACGGACCTGCCACCAGGTGGGTGCGGCGGTCGGGCCGGGGCGGGCACCTCCCGAGGTGTCACCCTGGCGAGCTGAGCGGGACGGTCCCGGGGCCCCCGCGGAGCTGCGGGGTGCGGGAGCTGCCGGGGTCGGTGGGAGCCCACGCGGGTGCGGGGAGCGGCGGTGGGACCGGCGCGCCCGCCCGGACCGTGCGAACCGCGGGCTCCGGGTGGGAACTGAGGGGCGAGCCGGGAGGTGGCGGCTGGCGGGGGAAAGCTACAGGTGTCCCAGCGACAGTCACCGTGCCCGACTGGCTGGAACGTGCTGGGCGAGTTGCGGGCGCCGAGCGAAGCCCTGTGCGGATGCCGCTGTGCGTGTGGGGTCCTCGTATCGTGCAGGAGGCCAGGTGAGAACTCCGCAGTGTACGAGCGCAGTGAGAGGTTTGTGTGAGGGTAATACATGTCCCGTCATTGCTACTTCATTGAGGAGTTGTTGACCTGTGGGATTTATTGTTGCGTGTTTTGCAGGGAGTATACTGGAGTCAATTCACTGCAGCCTTCTCAGTTTATTTCTACTAGTAATAATAAGAATGTGCCAGTAAAGTTATATGTAAATTAAGTAACTTTTAAAATGCAAACTTTGCTCAGGTTCAGGTGACTTATAATTCTGAAATCACTGTCATTGGCGTCAAACAGCACAGGAGGTGATACTCCTTTTCAAAAGAGAGGACGTCAGGTGTAGCTGCGTGTGTAGATACACCTTTTCTTCTTGCTTTGGGTATAACCAGGTGTAAATCTACTTATCTCAGTTTTATTAAGCTGTAGCTGTTAAAATTTACTTGCTAGCATTTATTATTTTCTTCTGTAATGTGGTATCATCAGGACAGTTCAGTTTTTACAGAGATCTCCCGATAGGGTTTGAAACCTGTTAGACACTTGGATGAAAAAGTGCCATGATTTTGTTCTAAGAAAAAGTTTTTCTGGTTGGATCTGTATTTATATCAAACTAAGTTTTTATTTGTTTGTTTTTCTTTTTGGTGAGATTGAACAGGCTGGTATTAGACCTACACTAGAGAGAAAACCCAGAGTGAGAGAGCCACCTGCTCACTAATTGTAGGACTAATTAGGTTTGTCTCAGAGTGACCTGGAGAACTCATACTATTGTAGTCTCATATGTGGAAGACTTCAAAACTGTACATGTAAATGAAACATCTTCCTAAGACAGAAGTTGTTTATTTATCACTTCTTGCTAAAATTACAGTCCACGTTTTTTTCCATGAGTGCCAGGCACCACATGAGTTGGTATCTGGGTTTTAATTAGCATTGCACAGGTGTCCTGTTAAAGTATTACCAGTAAGAGTGTTAGTAAAATGTTAATTGGAAGATGCTTATTCATTTGAAAAGCTCCAGTTTAACCCATGAAGGCTTACAGGGCTTCATGAGTTGTAGCTGAGGAGGAGCTGCTCCTCCACTCAGACCTGGGCCGACACCAACCGCTGCAGCTGGTGCTCAGCTGGGGGAGGAAGGGAGGGACGAGTATTGGAGCAGGGGGCAGGTCGTTGGCTTCCTTCAGTGAAGAGCCCTTTACTCTGAAACTTGCTTCCCCCAATTGTTTGCTGCAGACCAACCTTGTTAAGTTTAAAGTGACACTTCAAATTTTTCTCTCCTGCCATGCTTAACTGTCTCTGGGGAGGTCTTGTTTGGTTGTTGATACTGATGCACATTTTGTGTGTCCAGAGCTTCACCTGCTCAGAGTGTGTAAATGATATCCACCAGGATGTGAATTCTTTTAAGAAGTAAGCTTCAGTTTTTGTTCCTGGTGCGCAAAACATCTTTTCATACCCCAGCATCTTTATGCCTACCTCAGGAACTGTGCTTTGAAGTCAATTGCTAAACCAGCAGGGGGAACACAAAACTTTCTGTCTATAAAATCTCTCTTCCTACCACAGTTGAAATTTGTTAAAACTTTGGGCCTCCTCTTGTGATAGTATTTCTTTAGAAAATGAATGTCAATTTACTTAGACTCCCCCCATGCATTGGAATAAACACATAATTTTTGAAATCTTGTTTATTAATTTGCTCTAGCAGGCATGTCTTCCAGTCTTCTGAATGGATTTTTTTGTCATAGTAGCCATAGCTGGACTTGCAAAAACATTAGAGGTTTATTTGAGGGAAATGTCTCTTTGAATATGTTTGGAGTGAAGTAATTAAACCTAAGAAATGATATTTTGAGTAATCTTGTAAGTTTTAGGTAATGAACTAGACAAAATATTTTCACAGTGGAACTACTACGATGTCACATTTATGATTGTATATAGATATATTGAGAGTTAAAGTTGAGTTGCAAAGAAGTTGTATTCTCACAAGAAACTATTTCTAGTATTTAGGGTTTCCATAAGAGAAAATATTTTTAGATATTCTCTTAGGTTTTAAGAAGTCATTACTAGCTTATTTTTGTAAAGGTCAACTGACGCTCCCAGCACAGATCAATAATGATTTTCCTTCTGGATTTGTGTAATGATCAGTTAAGTATTTTGTACCAGCAATAGTGAACGTAAAGGCTGTTGCCAGAGAAGGTTATGTGGATGACTTGCATCAATCCGTATTGCTTTCTGGTCTGTGAAGCTGGATTGCAGCCCAATGACAAACTGAAGGTATGGATATGCCTACAGATGGCTGAATGCTAAGTGAGGAATGGGAATTTGCAGCATGGCAGCTATTCCCCAGTAAAAGCTGGGGAATGGATTCTTCCCCCTGCTGTAAATGTGAGATACCTTGCTGCTAATACTTGTTGTTAAGCTGTTTTTCTTGATGGTGGGATAAAAACATACCAGGGAGCATTTGCCATGGAGTAGCCAATTTGCTGCTTGTGATTGATAGCAGTTGTATATTCTCCCAGCAGAGACAAAATATAGTTCAGCTGAACAGACCCAGGTCAGGTTTAGAGGAAGAGACGTGAGCTCCTCTGGTTCCAGAACGGTACTGACTGCTTACTGAAGTAGGAAATGAATATGAGTTTTCTTCCCATTGTTTCAGTGACCAGGTATATGTGTATTCCAGCGGCCGTACATTCTTCTCTAACAGCATTATGGATTGTTGCCAGCTACTGAAGGTACAAAAAGGTGTATGTTAAATTCCATTGGTAATCTCCTTCCTCCATTGTTTTCGTGGAATAAAAAAAGTTTCTCCTCAGATGGTTCTCTGAGGTGCTGAACTGTGTAATTTGTAGGGTAGAAGTGAGATTTCTGTTTTCATGTTATTTGTAAATAGCAGTAAAGCTTTGCCTGATACTTCTTACAATTCTTTTTTTTTGATACTTCCAATAACACTCTGTTAACATTTAAGACATAAGTTACCAAGTCGTGGGCAATTTATGTGAATCTCAGAAAATACTCTGTGGGATACAGATTGCAAATATCTTTGCAGTCGCATTACTTTTGATCTAGTTCCACAAAATATTTGTGCATTATAAATAGGCATTACTTCTATAGCAGCAATATTTGTGGTGATTAACAGTGGTATGTTAGTTTCTAGCCACTTCATGAATAGAAGCATGTTTTGCCATAAAAATGTACTAGCAAAGAAGTAGTGCAATTGGAATTGCTTTATCCATAACTGTGGATTCACATTTTTATGTGCTGGCAGTCATCCAGTAGAGCAGCATTTCTTGTGCTGTTACAGCAACAATTAACCCTGTGGTAACCAAAATTAAACAGATTTACACATCTCTGAAAATCAATGAAGGAGGCACTTTAAAGCTGCCACTTTAGTTCATATTCCATATTTTTTTATTTCTAGTATCACAAAATATTTTTTTAAAAACCCTTAATATATGACCTTGATTCATCAGATTTGTCCAGTTCAGCAGAGAACATTTTATATATTGCATTGTAAGTGTAATATTTTTGACTTGTACTGCTTAAAAATAATTATGTCTGGGAAAATATGCTAGATTCTGATGTATCTATAATGAAGTAAATGGAGTTTTTTTAGGAAAATATGAAAATAGTTATTCCATCTTTATTCTGTGAATAGTACTTTAAAATGGGCTATATCTCTTTATAATTAACAAATTTAATTCCATTATGTTTATCACTTCTCTTCAATAGTCTGTCTAATTTCAGTACACTAGTTGGCCAAGTTCAGATTTTTTTCTTTTTCCTTTCCTGTTGCAACACATTGCGAGATTTTGGGAGTCAGCTGGAAAGGGTCCCTCTTTTAAATAATTTCAGTTGTGACCTTGCAAGAGACCTGTTTAGGTTGCAGGAGAATAGCTTATCTAGAGGTCACGGGCCTGAAATAGGTTAATTATAGAGCTGCTGTGTGTAGGTTGTTTTTCTGCACTGAAGGCAGTAGGGGCTGTGATACATAAAGTGTTATTAATGATTCTGAAGAATAATGACAATTCACTTATTCTCTGATTTCCTTTATAAGCACAGTCATTTTCTGTTGGAGATCAGTGAGGTTTATTGTGTGCATGAGGAACAATAAAAAAATCCCAGAGTATCCAAGTGAGCTTACTGTATAGTATAAATCTACTGAATTCATGTATTTCTTTGCCAGGAAGCTGGAGGTGAAGACCAGTATGTCCTCTTTTGATTTAAATTTATACAAGTAATTTTTTAGAATGTAGCTGTGTTTGACCAGAGCATGACTAAGAACTACAGTAGTGTTTTATCACCAATGCAATACATTGTTTTTGACAATGATTTGAATTACAAAACAGCTGTTGTGGTATTTGAAAAGATGGGCCTTTCCTGGTTTTGAGACTGTTGCATTAATGGACCAAGTCACTCTTCCAGTATGTACAGCTCATGTTCTGTGATGGATTAGTTCCTTCCTCCAGCATTTTAAGTGATCAGTGTTTCTGAATACTTGTGGATCTGGTGGTTTGGTTCACTCTGGTGACGAGCTGTAGTGGTGTACAGGATGTACAAATTATTTTTCTGAATCTAGGAATTAATTGTGGCTTTCCCTCTTCCTATACTTGTGCTCAAAGATTTCTGGAGTCTTTGATTATACATTTAATGTAAACTGA